ACCAGGGGTGGCCAACATGAGGCCCGCGGGCCGCATGCGGCCCGCCGGGAGTCGTGTTGCGGCCCGCGGAGCTAGGTCAAATGAACATAAATGTTAACTTTATTGTAATATCACCAAATGAACATTAGAAGAGTTAAGAAGGTTTGGAAGAGTTCTATGAAACGTATTTGGACAAGGATAAATATCTTGCGTTTTACAATCATGCTCTGTCAATGGTTACGCTATTTGGAAACACGTATGCGTGTGAACAACTTTTTAGTCGCATGAAGTATATCAAATCACAAGTGAGAACACGAATTACTGATGTTCATTTGGAAAACTGTTTGCGTGTAGCGACAACATCAGTCCAGGTCAATTTTGATGCACTTACTTGTTAGTTCTGTAAAACAAAGTCAAATTTTTAAATTGTCTAATAAATATGTTTCTCGGTTATTAAATAAATGATTCTCGGTTATGTTTTATTTTCTTCAAAAAAATAAATATACCTATTTTTTGTTTTTTTACATTAAATCAGGAAAGTGTTTGACCACGATCTCACCTACTGGAAAGCAACGATGCGGATGAAGGTGTAGAACGCTTGCTTGTTTACTTTAATTAAAAAAAAATTAGGTGCGTGGCCCGGCAGGAAATATTATTTTTGAAATTTGGCCCGCCGGCTAAAAAGGTTGGCCACCCCTGGTCTAAACCTTTCGTAAAACGAAGTGTAAGATGTCTTGTGCAACTAAAGTATCGAAGAATTCTTTTACTTGTCTTCCACAACTTATCTGTTGGTCTGTCTAGAAATTTACTAAGATACGACACACTATATGCAATATCCGGTCTGCTTGTAACAGAAATATACAGTTACCTAAACAAAAGCTATTGTTCCGTTCAAAGTTCCGTTCAAAGTTCCGGTGGGTTCCGGCTCCTTGACAGATTACTCATTTGTTGCTTTGCCTTTTTCCATTAGTTGCATCCATTCTTGAGGAATTTTAATACTCTAATTAATCGTTAACTTTAATTATATAATTATCACAATGTTAATCAATTTGTTTCCAATTCTCGGCAGTAATTATGTTACTAACTATTCTATACTAACAGATGAGCCTGGCATTGCCCGTGCAAAAAATAACAACAACAAAGGTTAATATTATTAGATTATTTCGTTATTTTAACCCTTCTGTTGTATTATATTATTCGTATCTGATTTATCTAACTATAAGGCTTATCTTTCGTAAGGGTTTATCACATCGAGTGACCAATCTAACGCATTTTAAAAATTCTTATATTTTTTTGTAGTTATATAAATCAAATACTATAGTATAACGAACGTTAAAACGAAAACATATAAAGAGTTTGGTTATTTCATCCTTCTTATCGCCGAATATGATTACACTCGGAAAATATCTGAAAAAAGTGGGTTACGCCTGCTACTGGAGATTTTGATGGGTTTGAGGATGACAATAGCACTTTTCGAATCATCACAAATATTTTTCACGTTGGAAACACTCAAGCAGAAATGAAAATGAAGCATATAAACACAAATTCCAATGACTGGATAGAAAGGAACAAACAAGTCTTAACGACTAGAAAAAACGACCGACGACAGACTGAAATGTGCCGTTCTTCGTCTTATTCAAAGATACAAATTCTTCAGAAATGTTTAAAGTCAAAAGAAAGATGTTTAAATTTGTCACTATCAGCTATGAGAAAGCGTAAGTTGACGCTCTCTTAGGTCAGAAAGTTGATATATACCAACTTTTCATGAGATCATCATCAGATTGTTTTCCTTTGTCTTGTTCGATTCTCACAATTACATTAAAAAACACAAATTCCTAATATTAAGAATACCTTACAAAATAGAAATCGAGAAAAACTCACTCAATATTGGTATGAAGAAAATGGTGTTTTATCGTTATACGATATTCCAGTCATTAGACCAGCATTTAAGAGAAAGGGAATGAACATAGGCANTTTCTAAAGGGTTTATCACATCGAGTGACCAATCTAACGCATTTTAAAAATTCTTATATTTTTTTGTAGTTATATAAATCAAATACTATAGTATAACGAACGTTAAAACGAAAACATATAAAGAGTTTGGTTATTTCATCCTACTATAGTCATGTCTATTGTGATATTAAAGTGGTACGAAAAAACCCACTTTCATTCGATGGCGTGCACATATCGAAATGAAAGATTTTACTTCATTTTTACTCCTACCCCCTTCTCTATACAATTCGTTAACACCACTTCCCCTTTTTCCCATTTGCGCAATCATATGTACAGTACAATAAATGTCAATTAACAACAGAATATTACAAAATAATTAAATTATTTTGTATGCACAAACACTCAGATGATCTCCCCTTTCCCTATGTCAGCATTTATCAACACACTCCTGATAGCCCCTGTCCACATCTTGATTTCGTCGCAATAAATGCATGCCGCATTGATCAAGTAGTTAGCAATTAAAATTCGATTAATAATATATCTTAAATATTTTTAGATGTTATATTTTTTAAATGTTAATTCTAAGAAACTACCATTCACAGTTGAATATCAAATGGTAATCTGCCAACAAATCAAATTTCGCGAAAAACGGACCAAATACTTAAACTCTGCACCCTGGAAAACCACTTAAATTATATTTTGTACACGCTAGTAGTTTGTATTATGTAATGTTCCTATTTGAATGCCACCATGCTTTGAGAATCCAGGGGCTGTTTACTCTGTAAATTTTTAACGAAAAGATACGTTTAGAAACTTTTTATTTTACCGCCTTTTTCCAACGGAGTTAAAAACGGGAGATCTTGAATATTAACTTAACTGTCAACAAGTTTTCCACCTCGTATCGACGCGCGAAAATAACGAAAATATATTAAAACAATCAATTGTAAAGTGTGAGAAGATTGACACTTAACTAAGTCCACGGGGGAAATCTAAAAGCAATGGAATGA